AAAAAAAAAAAAAAAAAAAAAAAAAAAAAAAAAAAAGGTTTAGGGGATTTGTAAATATAATGAAAGTTACAGGATGTTCTTCATGGTTTGGTTACATAAACTTGGTTGAAAAGTAGGGAGCGAAGTGATGGGAGAACTGAGATCTTCGAATTTACTATGAAATATAATTAAAATACATTGTCTCTTGATTACTAAGCCCAAAATCACTTACGCTGACTTCTATTTTAGATTGCAATGTGGCTAACAGTTGGATTGTGCAAGAATGTAACAACCATTCCAAAAGAAAATAACTGGGGGTAAAGATCAAACTAATTTAGTGTGACATAAAATAAATACTTACATCCTTTTTATTGTTGTGCTTACAGCCAAATGTTACATAAGGTGTTATTTTTAACAGCTGGATTAAAATTTAGTATTTGTAATGGTTTACACTCACATCCAAAGGAAAACCACTAGAGGTGATTTGCACCAGATTAAAACATTTCGAAGCAAAATCATATTAGCGAAAGCAGCCTCTCCCATGTGGTTGTAAAGTAATAAATGAGAAGTCAACACAAACCAAAGTTTCATGCGTGACTTTATAATTTGCAGGGTAAGTAAAAGCATCTGATTTATGTGTGCGAATTGGAATGGCAGAAAGGGTGGTGGATAGAGGGCTGCCTTTTTCCCTATCAGATGGCCATTCAGAACCCTCAGGCTAGCTCTGCTCCACAGAGGCCAAGCCTTTTCTTCTACATTTTTGTAATCACCTGACACCCATGATCATGACCCACATCTACTTGGCCCTGTTTAGCCAAGAAGAAAGGGCAGGCCCTTGCCCCTAATTACTCTTTGATGAGAGAAATATCACCAAATATACTAGTACACTTAAATACACCCCGAATTCTCTGGAAACCAAGAAAGGTGTAGATATGCAAAATGGAAATCAGTAACAACCTATTTATTGCTGGTACATAATCCTTACTTTCTCTTAGTCCTATCCATCCTCACTGTTTCCTCTCAAACTCACTGGCAACAAGGCGTTATGCAAGGGAAGAAACAGCATAGGACACAACGGCAAAATGGGAAACCTGAAGAAGTGAATGGGACAAATCCTCTCTAACATGTCCCCTACTTAATCACAGGAACTTTGCAAACTGAAAGATACATTTCAATTCTCAGTGTAAGAAATTATTTCCGTCACCAGCTTGAAGTTGTTTTGCTTTCCCCAAATGCCCAGTTCATCATTTTTTGAGAAACTGTGCTTTAAAATTTGTTGACTAAACACAGGAATGATTCAAAATTTCACTTGCCACAATTCCTGTAACTGTACCCATATCTAACACACCCAGTGCTTTAAAACCACAGGGAACCTAATCCAGAGTATTTCCATAATAGAATTTTAACACCCTTTTGTAAGGTCTTTTAACAGTTCCACAAGAATTAGCTGTCAATCTCATTCTTGGTCAAAAGCTTCAGATTTCTACAGAATGCTAGGGATGAGCACACTTACCTTAAATCTCAAGTCCTTTCCTGAAGGGAGAACAGGAAGCCATTTGGGGCAGGCTACAGTCCTCAGGTAAGGAGGAGGCAGGACTTAAGGCCCAGTTCTTGCTCATTCCTTATACCTAAGGAAATTCTCACCAATTGACTCTCCCACTTCCACCCACTGCAAACCACAACTCTCAGGGAATACTGCCTTCTCCACTAACCCAGCATATTTCTAACAATAGCCCAGCCATCATTTGCTTTTAAATCTCTCCTCTTCT